TGTGTTTATTCTCTAGAATCCTTACAAAAAGAATCCCGTTAAGATCTAAATCCATTATTTAATTGAAGTCCTCATTACCTGCCCCCCACAAATACAGATATCTGGCAGCAACTGGTTTGATTGATAAGGACAAACAAAATTGAGGACTCCACACATATGAGAATATTTTCATTGTGACGAGAACACGGATAGTACACCACGTGTTTTTATGTAAGTGATAGGAAATTTTATTTTTTAAGTTATTAACCTTTTAACAAACATATCCTACCATTTGTATAATGATACATGGTGTACCACCTCATGTGCCAATCACATTAAAAAATTTCTTCACACATATATTATTAAAGTTATAGAGACCGTAATTAATTGATATTATCTCATTTTAGTCACTTGTTGAATTAAATAAGAGTTATCAAAGGTTTGATTCCCTTCACCCCCAATTCTATCAAGTGACAATATATATATAATGAAAAAACGAAAGAAAAGAATCTTCTATTCAATTATTGCAAAGATTTAACTTTATGAGGTGTACTATCATATATATATATATAATTAAAAAAAGAAAGAAAAAAATCTTCCATTCAATTATTGCAAAGATTTAATTTTATGAGGTGTACTATCATATATATATATATATATATATAATTAATAAAGGAAAGAAAAGGATCTTCCATTCAATTATTGCAAATATTTAACTTTATGAAGTGTACTATCATATATATATATATATATATATATATATAAAATGGATGTACATGATGCAAGTTATGAAAAGCAGATATCCTTCTTTCTGTCGAAACCCATCCTCGCATCTTTTTCTCTCCGTAAACACACAAATTAATGGAAGTATCAGTGTCTAACATTGGTGTTGTTTTGGTGGGCATAATTGTAACTGCATGGGCATGGAGGGTGGTCAACTGGTTATGGCTGAGGCCAAAGAAGCTAGAAAGATATCTGAGGCAGCAAGGCCTTGCCGGAAACTCATACAGGTTTTTGGTAGGAGACTTGAAAGAAAGAACCATGATGCTAAAACAAGCATATTCTAAACCGATGAACCTCTCTCATGATATAGCCCCACGAGTCCTCCCTTTTGAGTACCGCTCGGTGAACACTTACGGTACGTTTACTATATTTTTTTTGTATATAGTTCGGAAATAAGTGTTATCTGAAAATTTGTCGTCCAGATTCACAATTTACCAATATAAGGGTGACAAGACAGTGTCAGTGATGTAGTGGTACACAGTTTGGTAATGAAGGTCTCGTGGTAAAAACTTATCGACCCTCGTATAGTTGCAATTTATCAAACTGGTGATTTACAACATGCCAACAAGAGATCACTAATAAATTAACCTCCATGAGTAGTGCCTAGTTTGAGAAGTGGAAATAATTTGATTTTAATTTGAAGTTTTAGTTTTTAAAAACCTTAAAAAAATGCAGGTAAGAATTCTTTTATTTGGGCGGGACCAGTACCAAGGGTGAACATTGCTAATCCAGAAGATTTGAAAGACATCCTAACAAAAATTGAGGATTTTCCAAAGTTGAAATCAAATCCACATATCAAGTTGCTAGTATCAGGTACTGCACACAATGAAGGTGAGAAATGGAGAAGACACCGAAAAATTATCAATCCAGCATTCCATTTAGACAAGTTAAAGGTATTTACAATATTCATACAAAGATTGTGGAAATTTTACGCTATCTAATAAGCTTAGAATTTATGTGCGTACGTAAATATATATTTATCAGATTATAAAGAGATGATTAGCTACGCAATTAGTAAATATGATTTAAATTGCAGCATGGATTCGCAAATGTTTAGTTGTGTTTAAGAATAAACCATATCCATGTCCAAAATACGCATATGCAAAATATATTTGCTAAGGAAATATATTTTTATTAGGAAAACCTCGACGGTATAATGAAAATTTTATTGAGCCAGAAAAAAAAGAAAGTTAACATAATTAGGGAAGACGTAAACCTTATCTCTTATAATATAAGAAGAAAGTGAAAAATACAAAAAAAAAAAAAAAAAAAAAAAGAAAAAAAAAAGGGACATAAAAAGGAAACCAAAATAAGTGATTAGTTTTTTAGATGTGTATTACGTGCGTTGGCTATATAACTAATTAATGTTGACAATTTTTTGTTTTTCTTCTTTCTTTTTGGTTGTTTTCTATAGGGCATGCTACCAGCATTTTACCTAAGTTCTAGTGAGATGATTAAAGAATGGGAGAGCTTGGTGTTGAAAGAAGGTTCATGTGAGTTGGATGTCCGGCCTTGTCTTGAAAATTTGACAGCCGATATGATTTCTCGATCAGCATTTGGAAGTAGCTATAAAGAAGGAAGAAAAATATTTCAACTTTTGCGTGAGCAAGCACAACTTGTAACAAAAGTTATACAAAATGTTTACATTCCGGGATGGAGGTAAAATTATAATTTCTTTTAGTCTTCAACTGGTAAATAGCAAGATCATTCAGCCAAATAGGTTAGAAACTAGTTAAATCAATTTTATTCAATTAAATTTGGTTCATTAACCGTATGAAAGATCATACTCATTTAAGTAGTAGTATTTAAAGCTTGTTATACAAAGCTTTTTTTGTGTGACATTCATAAGTAGACACCAATATTAATATTTCAGCTGTAAAATCCTATGAGGAACTTTGTTTTTTGTATTATAGCTTTTGTTGCAACCATTCAACACATTACAACTGAAACACTGTAGAGTTATCCAGTAGTGATCCACCGATTAATACGAAGAAAATTTCGGTAGTGAATTAGTACTGAACATAAAAAAAGACACTCGGTACACTTCTACCAGACACTCTTCACAACTAGCTCTTCTTATCCAAACTTGAAAGCTTCACATTTTCCAACCAACTCCATACGTTTACATCGTCAATCCCATATAATCCAATCTCAAAACTTATGAATATGGATTAGCTACAAATATTTAAATAGTTAGTTCTTGCATAAAACTTGTATCATTGAATGAGACATAGCTTTGTAGTCAAACCCCTTGTTTTCTTCATATCACCATTGGAACTAATAATGATTTTTTTTTTTTTTTTTGCAGGTTTGTACCGACCAAGATGAACAAGAAGATGAAAGGAATTGACAAAGAGATAAGAGGGCTACTCATGGGTATTATAAACAAAAGAGAAGAGGGGATTAGGGCAGGTGAAGCCACAAAAGATGACTTGTTGGGTAACCTCATGGAGTCCAACTTGAAGGAAATCAAGGAACATGGGAATGACAAAACAGTTGGAATGAGCATGGATGACGTGATCGAGGAGTGCAAGTTGTTTTACTTTGCAGGGCAGGAGACGACCTCATTGTTGCTTGTTTGGACAATGGTTTTACTAGGTCAAAACCAGATTTGGCAAGATCGTGCAAGAGAAGAGGTTTTGCAGGTCTTTGGAAGCAACAAGCCAGACTTTGATGGGATAATTCGTCTAAAAGTTGTAAGTGTTTGCTATCGATAAATTGAGAATACGTACCTTATAGGAGTTCATTTTTATCTGCATTGCATCAAGAAAAACTTGAGATATTACTTCTGCTACGTGACAATGTTGAATATTGAGTGTAAAATAGTTTAGTTAAAAGATGACATATGTTTAAGAAGTGAAATTTAGGATCAAATTAATTTAATCACATGTCATCCTTAACTAGATTGCTTCAATTCCACTGAACAATGCTATAGGTAAAAAAAAAAAAAATAGTGACCATAGAAGTTCAAAATTTGAATATATCACTGTTGTTTGCTTAACCCTAGATATTAATTAACCTTTTCAGACCTAACTAATGCTATATGTACTACATTTATTAACTATAGTTGTTTAGGTAGCTCTGTAATAGACGTGGACCCATCTGTGTATGTGGAATCCACCTATAAAATTGCATAGAGAAGTAGTCAGCAATGTGAGTCGTGACTCTTAGAAGATTGCTTAGTGTATTTGCTTCCTTTCACTTTTGGACTTGTTTTCATCTACTTTTTTTGGCATAAATGCAGAAGTTAAATTGATTGTATATGTACTGCATGCTCCCCAGGTGACCATGATTTTGCATGAAGTCCTGCGATTATACCCATCACCTCTTCTTGTTCGAACCACTAGCAAGACAACAGAATTGCGAAACTTTTCATTACCAGCTGGAGTCGAAGTTGCCTTACCACTGCTACTAATTCACCATGACAGAGAACTTTGGGGTGATGATGCACAGGAGTTTAAACCGGAGAGGTTTTCAGAAGGCGTTGCGAAGACAACAAAGAACAAATTTACGTACTTCCCCTTCTCAGGTGGTCCGCGGGTTTGCATCGGACAAAACTTTGCAATGGTGGAAGCAAAACTGGCCATATCGTTGATTTTACAGCACTTTACATTTGAGCTTTCGCCATCCTATGCACATGCTCCTTCTGCAAAAATAAACCTTCACCCACAGTTTGGTGCACATATCATTTTACACAAACGCTGATTACTTATGAGCTAGAAGTTGTCACTGAATTGTTGGATATATAACGTTTAGTGGCTAGGAGAAGTGTGAAATATTATTTACTTCAAGTACGAATGATATGTGTCATCTTGCAGACAATTTTTTCTCCGCTATTGGTATGCAAAGAGGAACTGCAAATATGCCTTATGGATTCAACAAAGTTCAAACTTACCCTGTGATTCAACAATGTCATACACAACGAAGATGTGTAGAAATGAGTTGTACAGTTTGTAATGTTTTTAAATGGAGGAAGAAGAGAATGTTATCAAGTGATTATTTCAAACCGAAATCTTCCCAATGTATGGAGGGAAAGGTGACTTTCTGAATTGGTTAAGTAATCACTCAAATGTGGATGTATATCTTGGTTTAGACCTCTTCATCGCTCTAATTTGGATAATTTCTTTCAAATGTATCGCAAAGCATCCACGAATATTCTACAGAGGCACCCTTTTTACCCTCTCGGATTCGCCTAACACTAGGAACGCATACAGGCAGAACAAAAATTCAAGGATACCGGGAGGCTGGAGTATAACACCCCTTAAAAGGATTCTCAAATTCCATCATCAAGCAAAGATTTTGGAAATAAAATTATACATCTAAGCTATTTGATTGGGGTCCTTGGGTGACTCTGCATCTCGTTTTGGTCATATATAGAGTTTCGATCAGAAGTGGCGGAACATACTGTGCTGTCACTTGTTGTTCTTCGGAATCCTGGCAGAATGAAGGAATGATGGTATCGATTGACATCTCCACCGCTGCAAAGAAAAGAGTGGCAACCACATGACCGAGAATTTCCCACCTTGTCCGAAATCCCCTAGTGAGAAAAAATTGTCACATTAGCCTAAAGCCCACCAATAGTTAGAAGAATTCAAAGATAGAAGCCTCTTAAAAACTTAACTCAGAGAAATAAATTTGAATGAAGCATGCAGAGGTAACCTAAACATGACTGAATAAGAGAACAAATATTGGTGAACAGTTCCAAAAGAGGCAGTCGTAAGGCCGAAATAGGACCCTACCCCGCTATCAGCGCTGTGTCCGTACCCAGGTCTTCCTCTCCATGGACCGTGTTCAGTCTCATATCCACCATGCCCAGTTCCAATACCAACTCCTCTGCCTTCTCCATATCCACCATCTGTGGAACTTCGGCCAATGCCAATACCAGTGCCTCTTCCACTACCTTCACCAATGCCTTTTCCATACCCAACACCTTTGCCAGAGCCTCTGCCAACACCATAACCCTCTCCAATCCCTTCACCATCACTGCCATCACCAATGCCTTTGCCTGTAGCCCTCTCTGAATCCTTTCCCATCGCTGCCTTCACCAATGCCTTTCCCATACCCAACACCTTTGCCAGAGCCTCTGCCAACACCATAACCCTCTCCAATCCCTTCACCATCACTGCCATCACCAATGCCTTTGCCCGTAGCCCTCTCTGAATCCTTTCCCATCGCTGCCTTCACCAATGCCTTCGCCATAGCCCTCTCCAATCCATTTGCCATCACCAATGCCCTTGCCGTAGCCCTCTCTGAATCCTTTCCTATCGCCGCCTTCACCAATGCCTTTGCCGTAGCCCTCTCCAAACCCTTCGCTATCACTGCCTACACCGCTGCTAGAGCCTTTGCCAACACCCTAGCCCTCTCCAAATCCTTCGCCATCACTGCCTTCACCAATTCCAATGCTAATGCCTTGGCCCATGGGCTTTTCCATTCTCATTCTCATTTCATGCCCATTTGGGTTTTCAACTTTGAGGACCCTACGGGCATTGACAAGTGCCATCAACGCAATGTTGCAGGAAGCCATCTTTTTCCTTTTGTTTGTTTTGCTTTGCATGGTTATATGGCTACATATATATAGCGAGCTTGGGCTCTGCAGGAAAAAGTGCTTGTAAAAGATGGAAACTAGAAAAGCACCAAAAGTGCTTCTCCGAGGATTGCCAATTGTTTTAGAACTCTGTGGAGTCATGAAGCTTTTGTGAGCAGAGTATTACCACAACGGAACTTGTTTTCAGCTTCCCTGCCGGGCCACCTCATTTCATTGATCACATCATCACACAATAGAACTAGAGCTGACGAACATGCATCGAGTGTGTTTTTTCGATTTTGGTGAATTTTTTTGCACGACCGATGGTTGAGCGAGGATTTAAACAATGATCGGTTCAGATCACGGGTTTGAAGTGGCTAAAACAAATTAATAACCCCATATTAATAGTCTGGACAAATAAACACTACCAAATAAGCATTTAAGGATGTTACTTCAGTTGCCTACAAAGAAGCGGGCTGATCTTGATTGTTGATGCATTTTGAGCCGGCATGCCAGGATCAGCCCTGCGCACACGACTGACCATGCAAAGCAAAAATAGCAAAGAAAATTTGACATCAAAGTGGATTGTTTTGAATAAAGGACTATTCGAGCAGTTTTGGAATGAAAACGTTGCTAACGTGTTTGAATGCATCGCAAAAGAAATGTCAGAGACTGGACACCAGTCACCAAAACATCGTCATTCTCGAACATAAATTCCTGTGCAGAGAACAGTCTCTGCAACCACTTATACATTATCATCCTCCAAAAACCAGAATCGGGAAATTCTGGTCAGCGGACAACATTTTACTTAAATCCTCACAATGGCCAAAATGACAAAGATGCGAACTCGGGAAATCTGGAAAGCTCTAAGCTAGTCATTGCCTATAATTTATCAACAGTCAAACAACCTCACCACTGCCTGATTCTGCCTCCATGGCTTTTAACTCTTCAGCCAGCGCTCGTTCCCTGTTCTTTAGTTGTCTGTCCACAGCAATCATATATAGGCCTAAAAAGAAGTAACAATCCTCGTCAGAAAAATAAGGAGGTTCCAAGAAATTGGAACAAAGACAAATGTACAGAACAGACAATTACATGAAACTCAGTGTTATCCAGAGTACTAGTTGGGGGTTTTACCAGTTTGAAACCCTGATCAGTTTAGACGATACTTTACCTAATTTATTTCTCATCCAATCCAATTGAGGAAAGAAAACAATTAAATTGGTTAACCGGTTGGTTTGGCTTGAATTTTGAATTTTTGAACACCCCTATAATTGTGTTATGCGGGGCATAAATACTATTCATGTGGCAGATTGTAAACCAAAAGTATTGTCAAACTAAAAGTAGAACAGACATTTTTATTATGAAGACTTGGAAATCAAGTATGCTATTTGAATCAAGAATCAAAATATGGAAATCAAGTATGCTATTTGAATCAAGAATCCTCATGGACCATCGATCCCTGATAACTCCTCTGCCTGCCATACCTTGCTGCCAAACCTAATTACATTGCTTTAGCATTAACAAATACTGGATACCCAAAAACCTCATTGCTGATCAGATAATCTAGTACAAGAACTGGAAATGCAAAATTTTGGCGTTGGCATCGAATTTCAACATTATCAAACGATTTGAAGCTCAGTAACTGAAGAGGCAACAAGCTTAGCAACTATTCCTCACAAAAACTAATATGCTTGATCCATCGTGATAGACTACGAAAGCTGTTATGGACCAGACAGCAGCTGATCCAAGCCTATAACAAGTGGTCACAATTCAGGTGATCCCAACCCAATCAGTAAAAACACATAATTCAGCTTATATTTCGATCAAAAAACAAAAAAATTCTCTAAGTTATCTCAGAAGTATGTTGCTCTCTATGTGTTTGTAGAAATGCGTAGCAGAGATGTATAATTCACCAAACTTATAGCAGATATCAATAAATTGCAATTGGGAAACAAACCCATTACGCGTTAGGCATAGCATGTCAGAAACAAGTAAAAAATTAGCATCAAAATTTCAAACATAAAATTATAAGCATCGAAATGCAGACCAAATAAAAAAAGAAACGTAGAAATGGAATCTTACTAGTTTGACAGAGAGAGAGAGAGCGAGGGAGAAAGCAAGCGTTTGGTGACGGAGATGGAGGAGGGAGCGGCGGAGGGAAGGAGAGAAATGAGAGAATCTTCACTGGTAAGAACAAAATGCCTGCCTCTTCAGAAACGTTGCCGCATGCTCTTTATGCTTTCTCCAATTTTCGTTGTTTTTCTTCAGTAAGCAAGCGCAAAGCAGGGCTTTTGCCTTGATAACAAGCCAAAGTTCTGTTTTCACAGGAAGCCCATCTGAACTTGCAAGAATCTAAAACAACCCTAAGTGTGTATTTCTAATATATTTAGTTCTTTGTTTTTAAGAACGATCTTCAAATAAAAAGTAAGAAATTTTAACGGTTTAATTATGAAATCTGTATGATGGAAATACATATATACATGCATATGTATGTGTGTATGTATGTACGTAGTTCTATATAATTAAGGAATCCCTTTATGTCCTCCATGCAAATTATTGATCGGAAGATACGATGATGTTCATGACTACGAATATGATTGAGCTACTCTTCATATTATCAATTAGTTTTATAGTGAAACCTTAACTTTTTTTCTCAATTTGTGAACAAGTCGTGAACTTTATGAATTAGGAGTTCCTTTGCGTGAATGAAATAGACGGCATGCGCTGACCGCGGGAGGTCAAAGACAGAGTTCTCAACATCAAGTCTATCTTGTCATTTGCATCTGAAACGTTTTTGCTTGCATTTGGTGTAGAGATTCCAACCATGGGATACAAGTACTCCGGTCAGAATTTCACTTTGATTTTGGCTGCTTTGAAGTTTGAACGTTCGTCTTTGATTGGATGGTGCTGGTTTTCATCATGTGTATCCTTAAACTGCTCATATGAAGTTTGAATTTCTTTAATTGAGATCACTGAACAAAGTGAATAATTACAACATAAGTAGATTGGATGCGTTAAATTAAATGATGTGCAATGTCAAATGATCGAATCATTCTTGACTAATGCATCAATCAACTATCTAGAACATGCACTGCATCGATCGATTATCTTCAACGTCGTGTAATTATGCTATGATTTACATCAACGTCGTGATCACTTGATTTTCTCAAATGCTTTCATAAAAACGTCACCTCTTATGTCTTGTGTCGTCACAATTTTCTTTAGTCATGCTTTAAGTCTTCAATTGGAACACAAACACAAACATCTGGCGGCCGGCAACATGTTTGATTTGTCAAAAGATCACAGGCCAATTTTCCTTTTTTGTATATATATATACACAGGACATGGATTCTCTCCGGATCCATGCATCCTAATCCTAGGGATCTACTAATCCGGATCATTGAAATTTGATCCAAGGGCTCACTTTAAAAGTTATAATAACTTTAGCCATTGAATCAAATTTTAATGACCCGGATTAGTGGATCCCTAGGATTAGGATGCATGATCCGGAGAGGATCCATGTCCATATATACACACCCATTAATTTTCCCTCTCAGTTGCAACCTGAAAGCCCTCCTTCCTCTCTGTCTCTCTCTCTAACACAAATTAATGGAAGTATCAGTGGCTGTTGGTGTCGTTTTGGTTGGCATAATAGTAATTACATGGGCATGGAGGGTGGTGAACTGGTTGTGGCTGAGGCCAAAGAAGCTAGAACGATATCTGAGGCAGCAAGGCCTTGCCGGAAACTTATACAGGTTTATGTCCGGAGACATGAAAGAAATCTCCATGACGACAGAACAAGCTTATTCTAAACCCATGAGCCTCTCCCATGACATAGCCCCACGAGTAATCCCTTTCCATCACCGATTAGTAAACACTTACGGTATGTTAAGTATATTATTTTTTCACGTTTACTTGGATATAAGAAATAAGAATTGAATCATTCTGATTTTTCACTTTCTTGCGTTAATTAACACATAGAATCCAAAAAGTGTTATCACTTTGAAATCTTTAACAATACTAGTTCTCATTTTCATTCTTTTTTTTTTCCTCTCATTTCAAGTTAGTAAATATGTCAATAATTCATACCTTCTTATGTGTTCTACCAAATTATAAATGTTATCTAGATTTGCAATTCAGATTCTCTGACAACATAAATGTGATAAGACACTGTCAACGACTTATAAATAAGAGTGACACTCAAGTCTTCAGAGTCGTTGAGAAAGTCTCAAGTTAAAACTCATGAGCCGATGAATAGATGCATTTATAAAAATGTATATGTGGTTAAAAATTTGTATGAAATTTACAATGATAGTTCAACTATATATATCTATATATATAAAGTGAGTACCCTAAAATGGTGAAACATTCAAAATACCATAAATTGCCCTTTAAGAATTTCATAAATTACAATTGAATCAAAAGAAGCTAAAGTATTTAATCATATTTTTATTTTGAATGCATTTAATATTTAAAATTATAGAAAGAAAAAAAAAAAAAACAAAAACAAAACCTCCCACGTTAGTGGGTGGTTTCAGGTCTTTAATTCATTTCTTCTTTTTTTTTAAAAATAATTTTAAAATATGTAAATTAATTATTTAAATAAAAAATATAAAAAAGACCAATTGCCACACGCGTATGCTGAGGCAAGAGGCTAGTAAATTTTGAATTAACAATCTATTCCAACAAAATAAAAACCGGCGCTGCTAAATCAAACTAATCAAACCTCTATGAGTAGTAAGTGCACTGTTACTAAACAAGCTGTGCACTTAGACATATACGTCTGGTTATGGTATGATACGTAAAAATAATTTGACTATAACTATGTTGAACCTTTATTTTCTTTGAAAACCAAAAATGCAGGTAAGAATTCTTTTGTTTGGATGGGCAGCATCCCAAGGGTGATCATCACTAATCCAGAAGATTTGAAATACATCTTAACAAAAATGGAGGTGTTTCCGCAGCCAGAACCAAACCCACTTGTCAAGTTACTAGCAACAGGTATTGCATTCTATGAAGGTGAGAAATGGGCAAAACACCGAAGAATTATCAACCCAGTATTCCATTTAGAGAAGCTAAAGGTATTATGCAGTCTTGCCAATATTCATTCAAAATTTCTTGTAAAACCTAATTTACTTAGCATTGCGGATTATGTTGCCTATATAATTAATGTTGATATAATTTCTGTTTTCTTTCTTATTTTTCCTTGTTTTCTATAGCGTATGTTACCGGCATTTTACGAAAGTTGTAGTGAGATGATTGTGGAATGGGAGAGCTTGGTGTTGAAAGAGAGTTCATGTGAGTTGGATGTTTGGCCTTATTTTCAAAATTTGACAGCCGATGTGATTTCTCGAACAGCATTCGGAAGTAGCTATAAAGAAGGAAGAAAAATATTTCAACTTTTGAAAGAGCAAGTACAACTTGTAACAAAAGTTGTGCAGAGTGTATACATTCCAGGATGGAGGTAGATTATATTCTCTTTCACTCTTCAAGTTGTAAATATATATCATCCTGCCAAATAATAGGCTAGCAACTAGTTAGTCCAGTTATTTATAATTAAATTATGTTCATTAACCACAGTAAAGATCGCACTCATTCAACAAACGAATGCATATTACGAAAAACATTTTTGTGACAATTTTACAAAGTTTTGAAGGAAAACCTGAAGAAGAAAACCAAGTGCTTCAAGGCAGCCAAAACCATTCTATCAATGCATGCTAAAATTTTAACTTTTCGTGTTTAAAGGAAGCTCATCTTTCAATACAACAACAGTGGGGTTGGGGATGGGTATCAAACTTGTCATTTATGTGAACATATATAAGACTTTCTACTTGAAAGTACATAATAATACCACTAAATCATAGTGCTAATAGAAAGGAAGCTCAACTTGATTTTGAAGAAAATGGAGGGTTCATAAAAGCACGTAATCTTCATATTACAAACATGCAAGGACAAAAAAAAAAAACACATTAATGCATGAAAACAAGCGCACAAATTGTCTTCTTAATATATCTTCACAGAACGATTTGAATAATTAAGGTTTTGTGCATGCAGGTTTCTACCAACCAAGACGAACAAGAAGATGAAAGGAATTGACAGAGAGATAAGAGCGTTACTTATGGGTATTATAAACAAAAGAGAAGGGGCGATTAAGGCAGGTAAAGCCACAAAAGATGACTTGTTGGGTGTGCTTATGGAATCCAACGTGAAGGAAATCAGGGAACATGGCAACAACAAAAAAGTTGGAATGAGTATGCATGATGTGATCGAGGAGTGCAAGCTGTTTTACTTTGCAGGGCAGGAGACCACTTCAGGGTTGCTAGTTTGGACAATGGTTTTGCTAGGTCAATATCAGGACTGGCAAGATCATGCAAGAGAAGAGGTTATAGAGGTCTTTGGAAGCAACAAGCCAGACTTTGATGGGCTAATACACCTAAAAGTTGTAAGTGTTTTCCATTGAGAAAAACATTTGAGGGATTGCTTTTACTAAGTGATTGTGACGAGTGCAAAACAGTTGAGTTAAAAGATGACGTGGGTTTAAGAAATGAACTGATGATCACACATCTTCTTTTTGCTGAATTGTCTTTGACTCACAATCTACATGACAAAAAATAGTCCCCATACAAGTTCGGATTTCTATATATCAATCTATTGTTTGGGTTTTTCTACAGTAACACAGTGTATAGAAATGCACCGGTGTTTAAATGGCTAAAATTGGATTGACAAAATCCAGCCATGCAAATCCAACCGTCCAATGCACAAAATTATCCCGTACACTGGTGTAATCTATTGTTTACCCTATGCTATAAATTTAAAACTTAACTTGGTTGTATATCTAATGCATGCTTTCCCAGGTGACCATGATTCTGCATGAAGTTCTTCGATTATACCCAGCACTTTCCCTGATGACTCGAATCACTAGCAAGAAAACACAACTTGCAAACTATTCTTTACCAGCTGGAGTGGAAGTTGCCTTACCCACACTCCTAGTTCACCATGACAAACAATTGTGGGGTGATGATGCACAGGAGTTTAAGCCGGAGAGGTTTTCGGAAGGCGTTTTGAAGGCAACAAAGAACAAATTTACGTACTTCCCCTTTGGAGGCGGTCCGCGGATTTGTATCGGGCAAAATTTTGCAATGGTGGAAGCAAAAGTGGCCTTATCGTTGATTCTACAACACTTTACATTTGAGCTTTCTCCCTCCTATGCTCATGCTCCTTCTTCACATCTAACCATTCGGCCACAGTTTGGTGCTCATATCATTTTACACAAACGTTGATTACTTCTGTGTCAGAAGTTCTCTCTAAATTGTTTATCAAATATTGAGAAATAAAAAAGTTGGTGAGACCTACGTGAATTTTGAAATCCAACTCCAAAATGTGGTGAAATTAAATTCCCTACATTTAGGTGGGAATTGAATTTCGAGTTGTTGGGGAAATTGGAATGAATTTTTCCTTCCTATCACACCCTTACTTATTTCTAAAATTTCAAGATTGCCCTTCGCATGAACCCGACACGACCAATTGTTGCCCATTTTAATATAAAATTAAACAATAACAATAACCAGTGTTCTCAAACGCGGTCTAGGAGGCGCCTAGGTGCTAGGCGGTGGTGCTCTGCCGCGATTAACTCAAATCATTCACTAAATCGGCAAGGACATTAAGCGGTGTAATGCGGTTTCCTAGGCAAGCTCGGCAGGCGCTGGGCGGCCTGGAAAAGAAACTACTATCGCGAGACTCATAACCTTCTTGTCTCCCTGAGTCTCGCCGTCTGCCTCTCTATTTGTTAGAAAAGAAGTTGAATATGGTGAGAGAGAGAGAGAGAGAGATGGAGAGAGGGAGAGAGGGAGAGGTAGATGAGATTTGTGCAATTGCAGGGATGGGTGATGGCAACGGGTTGTAGAAGGTTTGCATAGATGGGTGCGGCGGCAAGTTGTAGAAGATGAGTGTAATTGCAAAGAGCTGCGAGTTAGGGTTTTAATCAATTTGTAACTTTTTGCTTTAGCTAGCACCTTTAAACAGTCGGTGAAGGATTAATTAAAAAATGAATGCATGGCCAACGTTTTATTTTATTGAGAGGCCCAAGAATATGGGCTTACAAAATGATACAATTTTTGAACTTTACATGTATCCTCATATTTAACATATATACGTATATATATTATTTATTTTTTTAAAATAACATAGTATCAATGTTTATTTATATATATTATGTCGTAAATTTGATTAATTTATATGTGGCTTGAATTGTGAACTTATTGTACATGTGTTATCCTATAATACTCCTCACTATTGTTATATGGCATATATGCTTAATGTGTTTTAAATTTTGGACTTGTTGGATACTCTTTTTGCATTTTATCATTATTTTATTATCTTATCTATAGATTTGATACAAATATAATTTTTTTGTAAGTGACAATATGCATTTATTTATAAGATATACAAGAAATTTACCTAAATCTGCCTTGCCCGCCTAGACCTCGCCTATCCACCTAGGCGCTAGGCGCCAGCCCTCTGCCCAACTAACGCCTAGTGTTTTTTAGAACCTTGACAATAACAATAATTAACAGAAAATACAATAATTAAATTTCAGTGTGTTTTATATTTGGTTAATAGATGTATTTAACAAGCTTTCTATTAATTAGTATATAAATTTAACCAAAAAAATTAGCATATATAATCATTTAATCAAATAAGGTCAGTTTAGTAATTATATTAATTCACATTCCCAAATGCATTACTAAACCATTTACGTGGAATCTATACTAATTATATTCCAATTTCATAAGATCTTAGTAAACAACTTCGTCAAAAATTTAATTTTGACGCCCCTTTATTTGATTTCATAAGATCTTATTTCAACTCCTTATCGATTTAATATTTTTTCATTTGATTACAAAATAATAACAAGGCTAACAAGTCATAATACATGTACCGTGGTTCTCGACTGTTTGCTAATGCGTGAATCATGATGCATCTAGAACTTGCACGGCGTCAGCATCGTAATTTGAGTTGTGTCTGCCATGTGGCCATGCCTTCATAAAAAACCATCACCTACTCTAGCTTTAAGTCTCTAAGTCCTAACTTTACCCCTAAGAGAAAGACTTTCTTAAAAAGTAGAACTTTTTCTAAATTTTCTGCCGCATTATATTTTAACATAGTATTTTATAATATTAACAAAAAAAAAATAAAGTAAGATGGCAATAGAGAATATATGAATGTTCATTACGAGAAAATCTTTCTAACATTTCTCTACCTAAAATACATGTAGTTTAATTTGTGTGTTGAATGTGATTTAGATAATGTCATGATTTAAGGATGAAGATTCTTTCCGGATCTTCTTTGTGAAAATTATAGGAATCTTAACATCCTATTTATTCATAGTACATTATGCGTTTCGTTATGTGCTGTTTGTACTTAATTTTAATTAAAATAATTTAAACTAATTTATAACCGTACAATGTACAATGAACGAATAAAATATGAAGATCTCTAGAATTCTTACAAAAATGATCCAGTTAAGATACAAATCCATAATTTAATTGAAGTCCTCATTACCTGCACCCACACAAATACAGATATCTGGCAGCAGCTGGTTTGATTGATAAGGACAACCAAAATTGAGGACTCCACACATATACTATTAAAAGTTATAGAGAGTGTAATTAACTGATATTATCTCAAGTTATGAAAAGCAGATATCCTTCTTTCTGTCGAGAAACCCATCCTCGCATCTTTTTCTCTCCGTAAATACACAAATTAATGGAAGTATCAGTGTCTAACATTGGTGTTGTTTTGGTGGGCATAATTGTAACTGCATGGGCATGGAGGGTGGTCAACTGGTTATGGCTGAGGCCAAAGAAGCTAGAAAGATATCTGAGGCAGCAAGGCCTTGCCGGAAACTCATACAGGTTTTTGGTAGGAGACTTGACAGAAAGAACCATGATGCTAAAACAAGCATATTCTAAACCGATGAACCTCTCTCATGATATAGCCCCACGAGTCCTCCCTTTTGAGTACCACTCGGTGAACACTTACGGTACGTTTACTATATTTTTATTTTTATTCTTCGTATATAGTTCGGGAATGAGTGTTATCTGAAAATTTGTCGTCCAGATTCACAATTTACCAATATAAGGGGTAAGACAGTGTCAGTGATGTAGTGGTACACAGTTTGGTAATGAAGGTCTCGTGGTAAAAACTCATCGACCCTCGTATAGTTGCAATTTATCAAACTGGTGATTTACAACATGCCAACAAGAGATCACTAATAAACTAACCTCCATGAGTAGTGCCTAGTTTGAGAAGTGGAAATAATTTGATTTTAATTTGAAGTTTTAGTTTTAAAAAACCTAAAAAAAATGCAGGTAAGAATTCTTTTATTTGGGCGGGACCAGTACCAAGGGTGAACATTGCTAATCCAGAAGATTTGAAAGACATCCTAACAAAAATTGAGGATTTTCCAAAGTTGAAATCAAATCCGTATGTCAAGTTGCTAGTAACAGGTACTGCACACTATCAAGGTGAGAAATGGAGAAGACACCGAAGAATTATCAATCCAGCATTCCATTTAGACAAGTTAAAGGTATTTACAATATTCATACAAAGTTTGTGGAAATTTTACGCTATCTAATTAGTTTAGTATTTATGTGCGTACGTAATATATATTTATCAGATTATAAAGAGGTCATTAGCTACGCAATTAGTAAATATGATTTAAATTGCAGCATGGATTCGCAAATGTTTAGTTGTGTTTAAGAATAAACCATATCCATGTCCAAAATACGCATATGCAAAATATATTTGCTAAGGAAATATGTTTTTATTAGGAAAACCTCGACGGTATGATGAAAATTTTATTGAGCCAGAAAAAAAGAAGTTAAACATAATTAGGGGAGACGTAAACCTTGCCTCTTATAATATAAGAAGAAAGTGAAATATACAAAAAGAAAAAAGGGACATAAAAAGGAAACAAAAATAAGTGATTAGTTTTTTAGATGTGTATTACGTGCGTTGGCTATATAACTAATTAATGTTGACAATTTTTGGTTTTTCTTCTTATTTTTTGGTTGTTTTCTATAGGGCATGCTACCAGCATTTTACCTAAGTTCTAATGACATGATTAAGGAATGGGAGAGCTTGGTGTTGAAAGCAGGTTCATGTGAGTTGGATGTCCAGCCTTGTCTTGAAAATTTAACAGCCGATATGATTTCTCGATCAGCATTTGGAAGTAGCTATAAAGAAGGAAGAAAAATATTTCAACTTTTGAGAGAGCAAGTACAACTTGTATCAAAAGTTATACAAAATGTTTACATTCCGGGATGGAGGTAAAATTATAATTTCTTTTAGTCTTCAACTGGTAAATAGCAAGATCATTCAACCAAATAGGTTAGAAACTAGCTAAATCAATTTTACACAATTAAATTTGGTTCATTAACCATATGAAAGATCATACTCATTTAAGTAGTAGTATTAAAAGCTTGTTATACAAAGCTTTTTTTGTGTGACATTCCTAAGTAGACACCAATATTAATATTTCAGCTGTAAAATCCCATGAGGAACTCTGTTTTTTACATTATAGCTTTTGTTGCAACTATTCAACACATTACAACTGAAACACTGTAGAGTTATCCGGTAACGATCCACCGATTAATATGAAGAAAATTTCGGTAGTGAATTAGTACTGAACATAAAAAAAGACGCTCGGTACACTTCTACCGGACACTCTTCACGACTAGCTCTTCTTATCCAAAGTTGAAAGCTTCACATTTTCCAACCAACTCCAAACGTTACATCGTCAATCCCATACAATCCAATCTCGAAACTTATGAGTATGGATTAGCTACAAATATTTAAATGGTTAGATCTTGCATAAAACTTGTATCACTGAATGAGACATAGCTTTGTAGTCAGACCCCTTGTTTTCTTCATATCACCATTGGAACTAATAATGATTTTTTTTTGCAGGTTTGTACCAACCAAGATGAACAAGAAGATGAAAGGAATTGACAAAGAGATAGGAGGGCTACTCATGGGTATTATAAACAAAAGAGAAGAGGGGATTAGGGCAGGTGAAGCCACAAAAGATGACTTGTTGGGTATCCTCATGGAGTCCAACTTAAAGGAAATCAAGGAACATGGGAATAACAAAAGAGTTGGAATGAGCACGGATGACGTGATCGAGGAGTGCAAGTTGTTTTACTTTGCAGGGCAGGAGACCACCTCATTGTTGCTAGTTTGGACAATGGTTTTACTAGGTCAAAACCAGATTTGGCAAGATCGTGCAAGAGAAGAGGTTTTGCAGGTCTTTGGAAGCAACAAGCCAGACTTTGATGGGATAATTCATCTAAAAGTT